GGACAAAGTTAAATGTTTAACGATAAGTAGCACAGGCCAGTGTACTGATAAATGTAACTTGTTTCTGCAATCATACAGAAAACTACTTGGAAATTTTCTCTTCTACTTTCAGCCTTTAGATTTGTTCCAACTCCCCTGTATGAAAAACCAGGAAATGGCCACTGTCCAACATTCCATACAATCTTTTGATTTTACTACACTGTGGTATCATTCCATCTCCTGTGTTATAAATATAGGTAAAATAAACATAGGTAAACTACTTCCTTCCTTGAAATCAAGACACCTCTAAATATGTGTAGACCAATGTTTACCTTTCTATCTAATGCAAAAACACTTTTACACTCCTAGAGCATGTTCACATCTCCTATTTTGAGAGAGACATGCTAAAAAAAACCTGGTAGATGCTTTGCTGTGCATTACTGAAAACTAAAAAGATTTAGAAGCATATAGAGAATCTAAATGTTAGAGTGTGTATTAAATGCTCTGAATGTTTATAACATGTAGTAAATGTGCAATTATTATTCTACCGTGTATGTTTATGCATCACACAACTTACAAATCTGGAACATTTCCAGTAAATTTTCAAATAAAAACCTTATTTTATAATGAAAGGACCAGGTTGGTATGGTAAATAAAAGGAATGGACTGCCATTGGGAAGACCTAGATTCTGGGCTACATTCAGTGGAAAAAACTCACTGGGTAATTCTGGACCAGTCACATTCTCTCACCCCAACCTACCTCACAGGGGTATCGTATGGAAAAATTGGAGGAAAGAGCACTATGGATACCAACTTGACTCCTGAACAAAAGAAGATATAAACCTGTTAACTAAATAAATCCACATGTTGTTCTTGAATGTGTACAGAATATATCAGTAATGGCAAACCTTTTAGAGACCGAGTGCCCCAAAACCGGCCCCACCACTGCTCCATCCACCCTGCCCCCACCGCGCCCATCTGCAGGGCCACTCACCACCTCCACGGCCCACCGCAGATCGCCATGGTGGCACAGCAGCGCCATGGCGGCCACGCCCTCTGCCCGCATCCCGCAGCATCAATTGTGTGATGGGGTGCAAGGGCAGTCTTGTCCCCGCTGCCCAGCTGCCATGTCCTTGGCTGCGCTGCTTCATGCAGGCCACGCTCAGGGGCGAGTCCTCCGGGGGGGCTGGTGAGGGGGCCCACAGGGGGAGGCGGGGCTGGGGCGACGGCTTGTGTGCCCACAAAGAGGCTCTGAGTGCCCCCTCTGGCATGCGTGCCATAGCTTCGCCACCACTGGAATATATCGTTAGAAATGTGAGGGTAGAAAAAAAAGCAAGAAAATATTGAGAAACCTGATTTTTCTACAATTTTCTTTTTCTGAAAATGAAAAAAAAGACAGTTCCTACAATTTTGTTTTAAATATTGTAATGTACAATGTGGCAAAGAAAACTGTTTTCATATTGCTAACCACCTTTATTCCAAAAATATTTTTACCAGAGGACTTGTATTGTATTATATATTTTTTCTTTAAAGTATCAGTGACATTATAACGAATTTATAAACAAATATTACATATTGTAAGTTGCATAGTAAAACTCTCAAATGCAAAGATACATTTTTCCTCTAGGAGGCGCTGTTGTTTCCTTTGCTAAAGACCTTGTGATCTAGCCTGTATGCCATGGATCATCAACATCTGAAGATGAGCCCCAAACTTAGTAGGAAATGACTTAATTTATCTTGTATGCTACACAGAATTGCTTTGAGTTGAACAGCCCATAAATTAATTGATTTATAAATAAATATATTTTGGTGGTGCAGTATGTGAGGATGAATTCAAAAATTAAGATGGCAACGGGAGCAGAAAGCCATGGCCTCCTATTCCCACCCTTAACTGATATTTTTCAATCAATCAATGGGGGGGGGCTTAGTGAGAGCAAAGACTATGTCTCAAACCCGATTAATCCCTTCACCTAATTAATCCCATCCAAAGTTTGAAGCAATCCCCACCAAAAGCTAATTATCGGTTATTTTTCAGATTTAGGGACATATGGATGGGAGTTTGTCTTTTAGTTTCCTGTGCTCATTCCCATCATGTAGCTTTCCCCTCTCCAAAATAGAAAAGGTTAAAAATATTCTGCTACAGGTAGTCCTTGACTTACAACCATTTGTTTAATGTCTGTTCAAAGTTACAACATCACTGAAAAGAGTGACTTATGACCACTTCTCACACGTATGACTGTTGCAGCATCCTCACAGTCACGTGATCAAACTTCAGGTGCTTGGCAATCGGCATGTCCAACGGAGCTTCTGACAAACAAAGTCAATGGGGGAAATCTAATTCATTTAATGATCACGTGATTCACTTAACTCTAGTGAGTCACTGAACAACCATGGCACAAACATCGTAAAACGGGGCATAATTCATTTAACTGTCTTATTCAGCAATGGAAATTTTAGGCTCAATCGTGGTTGTAAGTCGAGGACTACCTGTATATTCTTTCCAATCAAGTTGCCACATTTTGCTACACAGAGAAGGAACGGAATGGGGTATCACAGCCATGTATAAAATACTGATTCAATCCCTCATTTAGTACTCTTTGGAAACCCTCCCTCCCCCAATAATAGAGCAGTCGGACAAAAACTTTCTCAACCAGATTGACTATGGTGGGATATTTAAGAGGGATTAATATCACAAGGATATTTACACCCTCTGAATATACCCACTCACAACAAGCTTAAAAAGCAGTTTCCTAACATGGCTTTTTTACATAAAAAACTTGAGTGCTACACAGGCAAATTCTGACAGTTCTACCATGCAGAGAGTAATCAGTTCTTTTCCACTTTCTAAAATCAGCTCCTATGTAGAAAGAATCTTTTAGGCACAACAAAAATCTCTTTTGGAGGATCCCACCACCGTTCAAATGAGAATCAGAAATCATGGAAGCCGCCATGATTACTGAACATGCTGAATCTATCAAACATTATGGATCACATAATTTTTCTGCATCCTCCAAGTTAGTATTGGTTTGCTACATCAGTCTATTTCTAATGCTCTTTGTTAGCATGTGTCCAATATGTTTTAAGTAATTGAAACATTTATTGTAGCCATTAACAATGAAATATTCATTCAAATTATTCTGTACCAGTCTTTTATGTGTTAAAGGAAATAATTTCCAATGTGGAAATACCATCATAATGAACAGCTTATTCAATATCACATAGGCTTGAATGTAAAATTTCTGTATTGGTGTACAGAAAGAATGGTACAACAAATAAAGTCTGATTTCAGAGCTTTTTCAAAATCTGGATGAAGTCATATTTTCCCAACATCACAACCTGGTTGCTGCATTCTGTTGCCTATACAAAAGAACCGAACCTGAATAACTGATACTGTAAACAGCAGAGAAATGCCATTCTATGTGTATAGTGCAAAATTAAACTATGCAAAACAAATATTACAAAGTGTTCAGAAATGAGAAGAGACAATTCAATTCCCATTTAATTCTTTTCATTATAAAGGCCTCTGCAAACGAGGTAATAATACTGGCATAACATTTCAAAAGAAAGGGACAAGCCAAGACATTCTGGAGAAAAAAATATGAAGGTCTTTTCTCTAAATTTTAAAGCATAAGAAGTAACAATTTCCTTCCTTTAGCTGCTAGCTTTAATAGACATAAGTTGCAATTCTTTATTAGAACTCCAGAACATGAAAATTTCCTAATTAAATAAGGAAACAACATTAAAGGCAATGGATTCGTTTTATAAGGCACAAGATCAATTTTAATTTTCTCCTCTCCGTTAATCACCATGATAAAAAAAACAGTATTTTCAAAAGACCAATACTGGATTGCAGGAAGAAACAGAGTGACTAGAATGGGGGGAAATCAGATTGAATTACTCATTTCCTAATAACAGAATTTCCAATGATTCTCTTGAGGATAAATCTGATTTTTATGCATGTTGTGTGTGTGCGTGTGCACGCACACACACACAGGAAAATTGAAATATGCATTACTGTTGGCATGTTTCCCCAGAGATAATAACGTCAGTATTTTCCACTTGTTTGCATCCTGTAAAAACAATAATATGAGGGTGACAATAAAGGGGGCTTTTACACCTGTTCCTGTTTTACCAGGAACAGACAGAAGTTACAGGTACGGTACCAACCAGGTCAATCAAGTGAAAGGGGGGAAGAAAATGTGCATTTGTTATCAGCCTTGTAGAGTTGAAGGAATTTAACAACTTTTCAGCATGGAGGAAAACAAACCCTTTGCTGGATGTCGAAGAAGTAATCCTAAGCAGAGACTGACGCCAGAAGCATTTCCTGCCTCCAATAAGCCCAAGAGTAGCATTCTTTTTTTTATGCTGTTGCGCTCAAAAATCTCTTTTTTTTCCCCCTCGCTTCTCCACCTTCCCGTATTTTTCTTTTTTTCTCCCGTTTCTGCACTGGGATCGTCAATGGTCTTGTGGTCGTTTGACACTACGGTAGTAGCACAGGCAACCTAAGCCACAAGTTCTTGTTGTGAAGTGCCTGGCGGGTGTGCGTCACATACCCAACCACCCTCTTCCCGGATTGTACAACACAGGAATTTCACACCCCACGAACTTTCACCAGGTGCCAACCGAGCGTCACGGCGGGTCAGGAAAACTCCCAGGCACAGAAGACAAAAAAAAAAGTCTGGGTCGAGGATCTCCCGCACCCAACCCACCGGGGATCATGGGGTGGCTTGCTGTCAGCCCCGTGGGGGCGTAGGAAATCCCACACCCCGGCACGATCTGCGTGGGAAAGAAAAACGTCGCTGCTCCGACGGGGGCGAGCCTCCCAGGCAGCCAGCCACGCAAAAAGCAGGTTTTCCCGTTCACACGTTCACTCGCAGCCCCCGGGGAAAGGCGTGGCGGCTCCACTCCCACTCCCCTTTCCCGACCCTTCTGCCCCGTCCGGGAGCGGGAAGCGCCCCCGCCCCAAAACCAAGAGAAACGCCCCGCGCTGCACCGCCTTTCCTCTCCCTCGCCTGCCTCACCTGCAAGACACGGAGATCTCCACCCGGGTGGCCGGCACGTTGGCGCTCACCGGGTTAAAATCCCCCACGGACGCCATATTCCCGTATCTCTCCAGCTTGGGCAGCTGCCCCAACAGTTTTTCCGGACCGAACATGTGGGGCCAAAGGCGGGGCGGGGCGAGGCGGAGGGGGAAGAGGTGGCGCTAACGGAATTTAGCGGGCAGGCACGGAGAGAGAGCGCGCGCGCGCTGCGGGGAGGGGTGGGGGGCGGGCGCGGAGGGACCGCTCCGCTGCCGAGGCGCGCGGGCTACGAATGCCGAACGCGGGGACTGCCTGGAAGGGGCAGCGGGCGCGAGGATCGGAGTGGGTTTGTGACGTCACCGCCTCCGGGAGACGTGCGTGACGTCCTCCCCCCTCCCCTGGGTATCCGGGCGGAGGTGGCGGCGGGGGGGGGGTTCTCTCACTTGGCGCCTGGAATGTGGCGCGAAGCCGATTTGGCTCCCTGTTTTTCCCTCAAGGAGGCGGCGAGAAGCGTGGGTGAGGGAGGGAGGGAGGGGGAATCTCCGGATGAGGGTGATGCCGCTTTCCCGTAAAGTTCAAGTGTATTTTTTTTTTTATACTACGTGGCAGACGGGACTCAGCGGGGCACTTGACACTTAGGGAAAGTTTTTTTAAAAACAGTCCGAGAAACTGGAGTTAACGAAACCTATCAACCCATCCCCACGTTGCAGCTTTCCTTAAGGCTACAGGACTAGATAGTGAACATTCGCATGATGGGACACCCCCAGCCCGGATTAGCCAGCCTTTGCGAAGTCAACCCTGGTTGCAAGCTTTCGGGTTGGCAACGTATTCCCCGGAACTAGCGAATTGGAAGCTATTTATCCGAGGCGGCCCCGACGAAAATCCGCGGGCGGCTGCCACCCTTCTGACGCTCTCCCTTGCACGAGTTGCTCGGGAAACATCCGTGTCTCGTGGGGCGTGTAGCAGTAGGGAGGCAAATAAGCTTGGCGTCTGAACCGTCGCCGCCACCGACAATGATAGGTCTCTTCCAAAGCCCTCCTGCAAAGGAGCAACCAATCCTTCTCCAGATCAACGGAGTTGTGGGGAAAGTTCCGCTAGGGGGAATTTGCTAAGGGGTCTTTTTCCTCTTTCCAGGAAAAGGAGGTGGCATTCTCGGGTGACGCTCGCAAGAGGTCTATCCTGAACGAGGAGGAACGAGCGTTGCTTCCACGCCTAACGTGGATGAGTCAGCTTCGTCTTACTAAATGAGCGTAAAGTATATAAATAGTCCTTGAAATGTTAGAAGTATAAATACACAGTCGTCAACAGGATTCTTAC